GAATTCAACTAATGGAAGTTACTGTTGATGGTTTCCATCTCTGCCGATGACATCTGCTTTGAGCACCCACAATTATACTCTTTTTCTAAATATATATTGATTTTTTACAGAGAGGAAGGGAAAGGGATAGTTAGAAACATCAATGAGAGAGAAACATCAATCAGCTGCCTCCTGCACACCCCCTACTGGGGATGTGCCCACAACCAAGGTACGTGCCCTTGACCAGAATCGAACCTGGGACCCTTCAGTCCGCTGGCTGATGCCCTATCCACTGAGCCAAATCGGTTAGGGGCCACAATTATATTCTTACACACAACAACAGGTAGTAATGCAGAACCTCTTATCTCCACATCCCCATTCAAAGCACACACTATAAGGCTATGATGATTTGTTCTTCTTCCTTGCTTTAAAACACCACTTCACTCTACACATTCAACCTCTTCACCTCCCAGTCTGTATCTGAACTCCACTATGTGAGTTCACATAACCCACCTTTGGAAAACCTAACAAATGCTTTTGTGATGACAATGAAGCTGAGCTGCATTTGCCAGCCTGATCGCCATGGAGAAGTCTGTACGGAAAGTCACCTTGCAATAGAGGTGCAGCAGGTAAATGTACTCCTTGGTCACCAACTAACCATAAACTATGAGCTGAATGTCAGGGGTTCACAGGTTTCATTTAAGATTCAACTAGTTGAGAAAAGTCAATGGAGGATGCATTCCAGAACAGAAGTTAGTCGTGTGTGTGTGTGTGTGTGTGTGTGTGTGTGTGTAGCCTTCCTTCAATAGTACATTTTTTTCTTTATTTTTTCCCCATCAGCATTTACTCCCACTATACCCTCTTCCACCTCATCTCTCCCTCCCAGCAATTATCATTCAATAGTATTTTTAAATTCCACATCATGTTATAAAAAAAATTTTATGAATTTATATATTGTCATTCTCATCTGTAACTATAAATAATGGTGGTTAAAAACTAAAAATTAAGGTCCATGAGAATGGAATTTTTACTGATTCTAATTCACTGCCACAAACCCCAGTATTTACAGTAATGCCCAGTGTGTACCGCACTAAATATCTGTTAAATTAACAGTACGAGCCATGTACAATACAGAAATGCATGCTTTCAATGGAAAGTGAGGTTGTTTACACAGGAAAGTACATAATTGAAATCTCCCCCCCCCCCCCCCGCCCCAGGAGGGGGGGACCAAAAGAAAACAATTGCCAAGGAAGTGTCTGAATTTCTTTAATATAAAAAAAAATATTTTTTTTAAAAGAAAAAGTCTCTGTCATAAACGAAAATTAACAGAATCCCTTTTTGGGTGTAGGATTTATTACATTGCACATAA